CCCCAAAACCCCAAAACCCCATATTTCGTACATTGCCTTTTTATCAGGTATAATTATTTCAAATAAGATAATTAAAGTCGACATAAGTTAATCCATATTAATTTTTTGTGGCTAGGTTTCAAAAATCAGTGTATCAAAAAAATCAAAATAAATCAGAATGTGGAGCAAGAGCAGCAATAATTTCTTATAATTTAAGGGGTTTTGCTCTTAAATGGTTACCTAAGAGGCTCTATCTCCTCTCCACTACTCTCTTCTGCTGAGGAGTGCATTAGATTTTGTAGTAATGGTACTTCACCAAGAAAAATGACATCAGGATTAACATAATTAACAACTCTGTATAACTTTGATTCATAAAGCTGATTAAATGCTACTCTATCATCCATAAGTCTTATTACTGGAATTTAATTAACAGTTAAACCAGCTTCCCATGCATCAAGTGCCTTCTACAGTACCTTCTGCATATTCTTATCCATTTCTCTTTAATCGTTTGAATACTCATTTACCCTAGCAGTTGTTGATGTTGATTTAAATTCATAGTTTTAACCTTTCCTTCTAGCAAATCCTTCAATCAAATAACTCTTTAGATTAGGGTCACTTGGCAACATATTGAACAAATAATAAGTTATTTTGCCATGAATTGCACTTTCATAATTTTTATTCTGATCAACTGCTGAGTTCAAAAAGAATTCAGTGAAAACAAAAACATCACCTGCTTTAAATTCTATTCCATTAATTTTACCATTAGAGTAAAATACAAGACCACCAAATCCAAAATTCCATTCTTCCACAGGTGAAGAATAGGTAGACAAACGTAATTGTTGGATTATTCTATATTTGTTTCCCTTCTTTACCTTCATCTTTAGTCCCTTCGCATCTGATGTAAAAGTTGTGCATACTGGATCACAATTATCACTTTTAGAAATTAAAGTTGATCTCGGGTCAGTAATAATAGTTTGAATATTAGGATTTGCTTATGAAAAACTTGATGTTAAGGCATTTGTACTTGCTACAGTACCTTATTTTGGCCTTTTGTTTGAATAGTTAGCAGAGGAAGATTATCTGTATTATTTAAGTGCTTAGTCTATTTCATTTTCATTTGTATTCTGAAGTAGTGGTTGATCAGCATTATTTTCATCTTCAAATTTAATATTTGGATCATCTTTTGCACTTAAATACTTTGAATCAGCTGTACCTTTAGAACTTTAGTTTTATGTTTAGATCTGAGCAAATTCCATGGTGATTATTAGTGATATTTGTCGAAAAGATTAGTTTATTTATTATTATATTTTTGATTACTTATTACTAGCCAATTAAAATAATATTTTATCATAGGGGTTTTGGGGTTTTGGGGTTTTGGGG